ATGATTTTAAACAACAATATTTACATTTTTTTATCTTTAGATTTCAAAATTTCTATTTTTCCATTTTTGTCAATTTAATAAAAAAATTTTTCACAAATTCCTTTCCATTATTGTCAATTTAATTAATGATGTTACTTATCAAGTAAATTTAATAAAAGAAAATAATATTATTGTTTAATTTCCTTCGCCATATTCATTATGGTTAGCCACAATTATTTGCAAGCTAACTACATAATTATAACAAGTAAAGAATAAAACAATAAGATTTATTGTCAATTTCCACAATTTCCTTTTTTATGTTAGGCAATACATGCATCTCCCGTTGTTAATTAGATATTAATATATATTTTAATATTATAATAATAATAATAATAACCACGAATCGAATATTATATTCTCATGAGAAATTTGCAAAATCGCGGATATGTTTCGCGGATAACTACATAGTAATAATAATAATAACATGTGGGCAGTCATATATACAGTCACCACAGCCCTACAAAAGTTAGTGAAAGATTTAATGTTATATTTCTCTCTGTGTTCATAGGGACATAATAAGATACTTACTAGAATGGACTTTCTCTACAATTGGCTGAATAATGTTTGTAATACAGTCAATCCATAGGTTTGTCACAACAAATTTTATGAATTTATCGAATCATGCCATTATCGAGAGTTACTCTTTAATTTCATGATATGATGAGGATAGGAAATATATGGCTTTATAGAGATTTTTTCTATTAAGATTTTTGATAAAAAAATTGTAATTATGAAAAATTCCCAATTATTATTAACTAAAAGCTTTTGACAGATTCTACATTTTTCAAGAAATTGCTTTTTGTCCTTTTTTTGTCAATCGAAATATTACTATCATTTATATTTCTGTGCTTAATTTGGGAAACTTGAATTCATTTTTTTATATAACAAGAGAAAAAATTGAATTTACGACTTAGTATAGGATATATATGAAATTTAAAAAGCAAAATTTTTTATATGATGTCATATAATGAAAGTAAGAGTTATGATTTTATTGATTATTAGGATTTTATTATGATTATGAAATTATATGAATTTAATGGTTTTTGACTGTAATAGGTTTTTTGGCAAAGTAGTGTATTGTGATCCTAATGGTAGAAAGTTCTTTTTGATGACCAATTTCCACCACACATTATTTTCAGTTTCATTTTTGTTTGTTTTTGAAAAAGATCTAATTTCACATAAAGCACTTATGGTGTCATTTTGCTTTTTTTAAAATCTTGGAGATTTGAAGTTTTAAAATAGTTTTGGTATTTTAAAAACAGTTTTGAAGTTTTGAAAAGTTTTATTTGGAATAAAAGTCCAATCATTCTGAGGATACTGGCTACAACTTTTGATGATGGTTGCTACCATCTTTGTGTCATATAAAAATGATTGCAACTGCTGGTTGCAACTGACTTTACAACCATTTTGTTTCATTTTTTGGATTGCAACATGGAATGCTAAATCATTTGATGTAATTAAATACTAAAATTAATTATGAATAGTATGAAAGATAAAGAAGGTATTAATATCAACAATAGTAATAATAATAATAATAATAATAATAATAATAAAAATATATAATGACCAAACAAGTGAGAGGTTCCTTAACAACAATGCAATTAATAAATCTCAGAGCTCAGGCACTCCCCCTGACATTTAATTACATCATCATATTCTCAGAGTGGCAGTCAGTTCAACCTTTTGTATACTAAAGGAAGGTGAGAATGATTATAATGTTTTAAACATTCAAGCCCTTAAAGAGCAATTTTCCATATGTGTGTGTTTGCATGTGATCTTCAATGGTTAATGTTGCTTTGACACTTCTTATAATCACATGTATGGCATGGAAATTTTTCATGCATGATTTATTGGTGTGGCATTCTAAAGACCTCATGGATAATAATAATTGATTAAGAAATTGAAAATATATGGAAGGATTTCAAGCAATTATTTGATAAAAAATTGGGTTGGATCCAAGCCTTTCATTTAGTGAAATATACAGATTACCTAGTGGAGGAAAATGTGTTTTGTCTCACTTAAAAAATTTCTAACAAAAATTAATAACATTATCTTCACTACTCCAAATTCTACAGTATAAAGCATTCCTTTTTACAAATAATTATTGATTTACAACTGCAGACTCTAAGTGTGTTCTTTTTGATGTAATCAAATTCCCAGCATCTGAAAATAAATGCTTATTTGAAATAAAGGTGGATAATAATAATTGATTAAGAAATTGAAAATATATGGAAGGATTTCAAGCAATTATTTGATAAAAAATTGGGTTGGATCCAAGCCTTTCATTTAGTGAAATATACAGATTACCTAGTGGAGGAAAATGTGTTTTGTCTCACTTAAAAAATTTCTAACAAAAATTAATAACATTATCTTCACTACTCCAAATTCTACAGTATAAAGCATTCCTTTTTACAAATAATTATTGATTTACAACTGCAGACTCTAAGTGTGTTCTTTTTGATGTAATCAAATTCCCAGCATCTGAAAATAAATGCTTATTTGAAATAAAGGTAGCAGGAGTAAATAAGTATTTACAAGCAAATTCTACTTAAAATTGGAGATAAATGCTGATCATTTCACCATGACCATATGGCAAATCTTTCCAAGAGCTAAAACATAGCAGGAAACAGGCTAAAAAGAATTTGATTTGATAACATTACAATTGAAGAAATGTTAGAAGGGTTTATTGATTATTCAAATGAATTAGGTGGTAGTTATGCTGGAAGCTATTCTAGAATAAGCAATTTAAATAGTCAATTGAATCAACAAAAGAGAGATTATGAAGAGGAATTGAAAGTCAAGCAGAGGAAATTCAACGATTAGAAGAAGCATTAGAATTAGAGGAGGAAACATCTGACTGCCACTTAGAGGCTCTTGAAGTGGCTAAACAGTGGAGAATAAGACAAAGCAAAGAAAAAGATGACAACTTAGAAAGAGCTTCTAGGAAAATAGAAATGTTGGAAAATATTGTGGCATGGCAGAAATATTTATCTGGCAAGCAACTCCAAGAATTACCATCCTTACCAAAGAAAGAAGGAAAACTCAAACTCCTAACTAACAAAGTAAAGAACAAAGTTAGCCAAATAAAAGCAATAACTCAAGAAAAATTTGAAACCTATATCTTGCAAAAGAATAAATAGCATGAAATTAGAATATCAAGTTAATGAGCTGAGGAGAGGAGATAAATGGCATTGTAATTTCTGTCCTTT